ATTCCCACCTGAGGGATGCCAGGCTGCAATCCCAGTGCCCCCATTCCCACCTGGGGGATGCCAGGCTGCAATCCCAGTGCCCCCATTCCCACCTGAGGGATGCCAGGCTGCAGGGGGCTGCTCAGCCGCCGCGTCTCCACGTGCTCGGGCACCAGCCCCTGCTCCCGCAGTGCCAGCAGTGCCAGCCGCTCCTCCAGCGGCCCCAGGTGCGGGTTCGGGGCCTTCCCGTCCTCTGCCAAGGGCAAAGAGCAGCGTCAGTCCCGCGGGGATGGCTTCGGGATGGCTTTGGGATGGATTTGGGATGGCTTTGGGATGGCTTTGGGACGGCCCAGGGATCAGCAGCAGCCTCGGGGAAGCCGGGACGAGCAGGAGGGGCAGAGCCTCCGTTCCCAAACCCACCCCCACAAACCCCCCTGGGCACAGCTGTGCCACCCCACGGCCAAGTCCCGTTCCCACGCCCTTCTCCCACGGGCAAACCCCCCCAGATGGGAGAGGGACCTGCTGGGAGCCTCATCCAACCACCCCAAACCAGGGCAGGGGGACAGCACAAGGACCAGGTTGAAGGGCATGGAAAGGACACCCCAGGCTTGCATCCCACTCCGGGGTTCAGGGCTCCTACAGCCACAGAAATTGGGGTGCAGGGTCCCCAGCAGCCCCCCAGCCCTTGCTGCTGCTCTGCTGACATTCCCACCCCCACCAGAGGGTTATCTCAACATTCCAACCCATCCAGGATCTTCTCCTGGGCAGAGGAATGAGCTCCCAAGAGGATCCCATTTCTTCTCTGCTGGGTTGGGGATGAAAGACAGAAAGGAGAGGGGGAGGAAGGCCATGGAGACACCACCAGCACAGCTTGGAGGCTGATCCTGCTTCCTCTTCCACCCCAGTCCCTGCTCCACCCCTCCCTGCTCCCACTGGGATAGCTGTGGTCCTTCAAGGAAACGGGACAGGATGTGGCAGCCACGGCGGATACTTCCACCTGGAAGCATCTCCTGCTCCTCACCTGCTCCATCCACCCATCCATCCATCCATCCATCCATCCATCCAT